AGAAAGAAAGAAAGAAAGAAAGAAAGAAAGAAAGAAAGAAAGAAAGAAAGAAAGAAAAGAAGAAAGAAAGAAAGAAAGAAAGAAAGAAAGAAAGAAAGGAAGAAAGAAAGATGCAAAACAGAAAGATGTGCTTTGCAGGCTAGAAATCTTAATTTTTTTTTCATTAAACAGCCTCATGTCCACTAATTGAGAAGACAAAAGTTCATACATACAATTTTGGCTTCAATTTGCACAAGGCTGGTTGCTGGTTGTAGCACGGGCAGGAGGACATACCAGGAGCGGATCCACTGCGTAACGTAGCACAGTCACCATAAATCGAAGGCTCGCCTGAATTGCCCTTTCACGTTAGAATGTCAGATCGCTTCATTCTCAAAATATGAAAAATAAATCAACACTCTTCATCGAATGTCCTGATTGAACGTTACCACGATACTTCCTTTTTTTTTCGAGGTTGAAATAATTGATTTATCTTCTTTGTAATCACCTTATCAAGCATCCTTCCAACACAACCTTACCTAGAAGTCAACTAGAGCATCACAAGTTAGGCAACAATATGGGATATCAATCAGTCAAGACCATGATATCAGCAAACACGTCTAATTCTAATGGTCTGAATCGAACAGGATCTGATTTACAGAAGCACAACGATGGCCTCAGATTTTTCCGTCAGGCTTTTAAGGACAACCTTTAACCATTTACACGCATTTTTTGAATTTTTTTGCTTCTTTCATTTTTTTCTCGTTAAGCGTCTCAAACATCTTAGCTAGCAGCTAATCCATTGAGATAACTACATTTACTAACTAGAAACTTGACATTGGGATCGATTATAGTTGGATAAGAATTTCACCTTTAGCCCAGAAAGTGCTTGACACGCTGCTTCCGGTATTCCATTTCCAAGTGCTGTTGGACACTCGAGCGGCCCCTACCCAAGGTGGGATGGCATGGCCAGTAGTGAGCTCTAAAAAACAGAAATAATTACTCACTCTGTTTAGGGCTTACACTGGATGACTGCAAAGCGGCTTTTGGTTGGCTCAAAAACTTTATGGTAGTGAACGAGCAACAAATCGTGTAAAACCCATCATTATATACTACTTACACGAAATGGATAAAGTCTAATCGAGTATAAAGGATCGAGTCTTGGGCGTTCATCAGTTCGTTTGTGGGATGCGCCTACGCATTCGGCTTCCATTCAGAATCGTAGTGGTGTAAGCTCCATTCAGAATCGTAGTGGTGTAATAAATGAGTATGTGGCCTATAGAAAGAATTGCGGAGGATAGCCCATGTACAAGTCAATGCTTTTATCCCTCCAGATGAGTCTAGTACCAATTGACCTCTGGAGGAAGGCCCAGTTGTCCACGAATATCGATTCTGGATTCGAACCTGTGACCATGCGCATGTGAAGGGCACCAGTTGCCATTTCACCCCTTTTGTGGCTTTTACATGTTTTAAAACTGTTCGAAATCGCTCAAAACATTCCACAAACCTTGACTTGTTGATATTATTCAAACAGTAACCCTAAAATATCATTTTGCTCATATATGAATGATATAGTGCTTCCCTGTTCAATTGCTGTTGCGAAATGCAAATGTTTATACCGCAGGAAGGCTCCAGCTATTCACTAACTATCCTCAGCATGGGTCGAAGCCGAGCTGGTCTCATAGAAAAGACCACTAACAATAACGAAGTCACTTGTTCTTTGATAGTTTGTCAGAAAAAATAAACACATACGCAAAAGTGCTGTCATCTCCGCCTGTAGTACCATTGCTGCAAGCTGAGCATTCTGCGATTTGCAGTAGCTATCAGCATCAGCAGCTGAGTACAGCTTAGAGCTGATTTGATAGCAGTACGATGTCTGGGTTACGAATTGGAATCCGCCTGGACATAAATCGGCTGCATTTCCTAAAACATCTTCATTGTAGTAAATAAGGGCAATACGAGAAACCGGCATTGTGAAGAAATTGGTACTTTTTCAGTTTTATGAATCATCTAAGAAATAAGATCTAAAATAACCATAATCATCCGTAACTCCGAGCCAGTAATAAAAACTTATTACCGCATTTAATTTCGTATGTTAGCAGCAAGAAGATAGCAACAAGGAGCATCACTGGGGTTCTTTTCGGTGATAGCGCTTATCAGCAAAAAGCATTCATGTGAAATGTAAGTTCACTGCTCAATCAGGTTTTACGAGTATAGAAATAATTGGCAGCTGATGTTTTGCCATTACTTCATCCTTTTTTTCGTAATCCTGTAATATATGCTAGATTGTGAAGGCTCTCGTCAGATTTTGATCGTACAGCGGCAATGCTTACTCACGTCAGCTCACAGAATTGTCATTTACTTAAATAAATGCACATGTATTAGAGACAAGGGTTGGGTTTGCCATTAAGAGGAACTCTCAGTGCAAAACAGTGCCATTAAGAGGAACTCTTAAAGCAAAACAGTCACTGGTTTACATGAAATTCGCTACTCTGGCCTATATCAAATATTCGGCAGATTTTCTTCAGCACATGATACCTCCAAATTCAGAGCAATTTCAATTTAAACGTCATGGGTCAATCATTAAAGGTTTGGTTTCGTTTCCTACCGAACGTGGGGCTCTGTCACCAAATACAACAAATATTGTGTTTTTCAGAGCGCTATCAGGTATGAAGGCAAGGCAGATATAGAAAACCCTAAGTGCCCTCATCTCTCATAATCTGGAATCATTCGAACCGACCGTTATCGCTCCCCTGCCCCGTGAAGGTGCAAGGAAACTTCGAGCTGGCCTTGGAGTCAGGTTAGGTTGTAATCATCGGGCGGGCTCGAACTTGGGACCGTGACAGCTGTAACGCCAATCACTAACCACTGCGCTATCTGACGCGACAGAATGCTAGGAGACCTCGCCACTTGTAAATGCTGTTTAACCTCACGGTGAGGGCACACTAATTAACAAACTAATAAAGCAGTTTTTTTTAAACGGACGGCTTAATTCTGAACAATGACGAAACTGAACAGTGATTCAAATAACTGAAAATTCGTAGTGAATCCCGCTTATTTATACTGATCTTTGAACTTTATTTATTGATTAAACCTAACGAATTTTATCATTATCTATACGCATATCTATATATTTTCGTTGTTGATATAGTACATTCTATCGAACTGAATTTCGCGATGAAAGCATTTCTTTTGTAATAGGTTGTAATGCTTAATAATAGGCTGAAAATGTTATTTTTCTCTAATTAACATTACATAGAAAAAATGGAGTAAATATGTGCCGGCTAGAGACAACTACTGAACTAGGATAAAAAGAAGGGATGAAGTCTTTGAGAGCTGGTCAATCCCGTTTGAGGAATACGCCCCGCATTCGACTTCTATTCAGAATCGTAGTGGAGTTTAGAACGCGTATGCGTATGTGTCCTACATAATGAATCTAGCTGACCAGTACAGGTCAGTACTTTTATGTTCCCATACGAGTCTGCTAACAATTGGATGATCTTAGATGAAAGAGAGGCCTGGTAAGCCTGGCCGGCATTCATTTGTGATCCAATCATTGGCCATATGCGTTACTGATCACTGCACCACCTACGCCGCTCTAGAGCAGTGAATATTACATTCATTTAATGTCCTATGGATTTTCGTGAAACTATTTGAATTCCTCTTCTTAGAGCAGCTACAACTGCTTGATATTGCGCGCAGTGTGCAGTTAATCGTCTTGGATGCAAATCTCTTCTCTGGTTCTGTTGAAACGGTTTTCTCTGCGGTGTGAGTGGCATTGACACGAGCAGACCAGCGTTATTCTGTTGGTCTGACCTTGAATTACTTGGGAGTTGTTGTTTCTATTCTTAGAAGTTTTCAAAGGCTGCTTTAGTAGTTTCATTAGGACATACAGATAAAATTGAAGGGCCAACTCTGAGAAAGTCGAATTATGCACAAACGTTCAGCCTTGAACGGGACTCGAACCTGCTCTTTCTGCCTTCTCATCCAAACACCTTCTCCTTCGGGCTCGAGCCCATTCGAGGCTTAAATTTTGCTCCTTCGTCTCCATATTTATGAGACCTCAGAGACATCGCGTACTGCGGCGAATAACAGCAGTTAACAAAACATCAAGTCACAATTAATGGGCAAAGCTAATTATCAAAACATAGGCAGTAGAGTTCTATTCCAACACTGCCTTATCGCGAGTGGTGAGTAGCAAAGCTGCAGCTTTATGTACCATGTTTAGCCTGAACTACCTATTGTTAACACTGAGTGCATTCGCGACTCGATAGCATCCAGGGGTTTTCGGAGCCAATGGAGCATTGTGAAGAGAGATTCCCTCACGATGCACAGCATCAGGGCTCACAAACTCTTTAAAAAAAAGATTTCGCTCACATAACCAACAGATGGTCTCATCTGGATACTTGTATGTTGCCTTCCTTGAAATCAAATCCTTCATCCGGTGTCATGGTCATCGATATTAGTCCATAAAAAAAGGAAAGGCTGCCAATTCCGTTGAATTACAATGGTGGTTAAGCCAACTTTTGGGAGAGTTCGAGGTCGATTCCAAAATGCTTATCGTCATCGAACTCCTATTGTGAGAGTGTTTCTAGAAAAGTGTGGCGAATTGTAGTATGATGACCACAACAAGGAGGAGACGACGGGTCTAGTTTCCTTTTCTTGCAACAGGACACTTCCATCTGTCGCACTTATCGAATACGGAATATGGCTGCTATGCCGACAAGTTTCTGCTGATAATAGACGTCTGAAGATAAGGTATAACTAGGCGGAACTAACTTCTGAGTAGTTGATGCATATCTTTGTGTCAAGAGGGCAGGTCTGCTTGGTGGATTTTGAAGTGCTCTTCAGATCTTTATATTCCATCAGATGAACAGAAGCAGACTCCTCGCGGTGGGGTCATAATTTTCGTGGCCATACAGGGTCTTTAGTAGATACAGGAGTTGAAAGTGGCTCAAGTCCAGTTCAGACTCGAAGTTATAGTCCCCTCCATACATAAAAAAACTTGCAACAAATGATTGAGCTGTTGTCTTGCAAGGTTTTGCTGTAGAAACGGGGAACAGAACTTTTGTACCACTCTGGCATAATCTGCTGTGGTCTAGAGGCATGTCGTGTCGGAAAAAGGGTGCTTATTGTTCGCTAGTGGAGAGAATACCTGATAAAGCAAAGGAAAAGCTGTTCAGAAGCACTCCTCCGCTTCCGATTCCAGTGTACATGATGCGGTGTTAGAGAGCAAAAATTTCGCGCAAAAAATATGCCTCGGCACGCTTTCTATAGTGCGCTGAAATCGGAACATTGGTCTCGAGAGAGCGGCTTCGTTTTATTTGGTTTTCTCTCCAGTGGCGCACATTTTTCTTCATTTCTGCTTTCGTTCTGATCCATATATGATCAACCGGATCACATTCTACTTGATTTGTGATGTTGGAAGTGAGCCGCTTCTAGTACCATGGAAGACGGAAAAATGATTTCAGAGAATAGATTCTGTACTGGAAGCTACAGTCTTCAGCAACTAATGGCTGGAAATGAACATTTCGAGTAGGTTCTTCTTTTACTTTGAAATCGACGAGTGCGTTGCTGTCAAGCATGCAAAAATTAGGGACGTGGCTTTTGTAGGTTGTCAGTAGCCACTACCAATTGATTCACTTCCTGTCCCCTACAATCAGTGTCACATAATGCCTTTAATATCCCTTTCAAGTATGAAAGCTTCGGGATCAGGAGAGAGGGAGGGTGCGAATATCCGACACACCTACATGCACACACATACATGCAGATACGCACACTCATACAGGTATACACACGTATACGCACACATACACACATGCATTCAAGCCCACATAATATACACACAAGCACAGGCAAGAAAAATAAGTGGAAGAGAATCAGGAGGTGTTCAAACAGAAAGCGCAAAGATGCCAGGAAACGTCAACTTTTCGAGGGCTCTCGAACTGACACGCTAACGTGGAATCGCACGAACTGAAGCAGTCCGAACTTGCGAAGCTATGCGAAGAAGCGATGAAGGAGGGTCTGAAAGCGAGAAGAGCAGCAATTTCGACTGAAACCGCAGAAGCTGGGAATAGCATTTGCAGAGCCAGCCGGAACTTCGTCACTTATAGGACCAAGATGACTTCCCTTCGTCATCCTGACGGAACAGTTGCTGCATTTCAAGGGCAATGGATTCTGCTCTGATCTCTTCGCCAACCACGTCTACTTCCGACCTACCATCTTAAGGAAGACCGACCTCCAATTACCCTCCGAATTTCGACATCACGTCGATGGGGAATAGTACGGCGCCCTCCCGACAGGATTGAAGCAGAACATCTGAAAATTCCATCAGCCATTCTTAAAACCCTGACCCGGCTCTTCACCTGTCGGAATGCAGAGTGCTCATTTCGTGGAAAACTAGCGAAACCGTATTGCTACATAAAAAGGGAAGCCCAGCCGCATTGACTATTATCGCCCAATTTGCCTGCTGCCTGTAGTCTATAAACTTCTCATCCGAGTCATCCTCAACAGGATTAGCAGAATATTGGACGAAGAACAGTCATGCAAGCAAGCACAGTTTCGGAGAGAGTTTAGTACAATCGATCACATCCACGCCCCTACAAGACTCACTGAAGTATCGCGAAAGTACAAAATACCCTCATGTCCTACGTTCATCGATTTGAAGAAAGCTTTTGATGCCGTTAAGATAGAAGCGGTAACCGAAGCCCTGAGCAACCAGGGTGTTCCTTCTCAATATGCAAGAATGCTTGTGAGCTTTACAACAACCTCACGACAAGGATCTCGCCATTTCATAAAGAAGTATTTATTAATGTTAAGAGAGGCGTTCGACACGGCGTCACCATCTCTCCAAAACTTTTCAGTGCCGCTTTCGAAAACATCATGCGTCATATGGAATGGGAAGGAGTGGCAGTAAAGGTCGACGGCCGTTACTTCTGTCATCTCTGCTTTGCAGATGACATCGTGTCTATG